CGTTTTTTTAGACTTTATTCTTGAAATTTTTAGCCGTAGGCTAGTTCATCTCGCCGATGAAAGGTGGGGCCTCAGAAGGAGGACCCACAACAGAGTAGTTTTTTACAGTGTTTACTTCAACCAAAAATTGGTTCCTGGCTCGATCGTACATTTGCACAACATTAAAATCTGAATAAGACAGAGCTCCACACCGGGGGAACCGGGAGGGCCCCCACCAGGCAGAGATGTCCCAACAGAAGAAAGGAATTAAAAAAAGACTAAACTTTAAAATACAATGAGCATGTCGCGTATGCTATTTGGAAGCCCGTGGAATTCCCGCAGGTTCTGATACTGAGGGCATACGCATAGAATGTGCTCGATTGAGGCTGGAGTACTACAACAGACGCAAGTCCTGTGGAACGGCGTTCCACCGAAATTGTGCGAGATCTTGGTATGACCGGACCTCAAACGCGACGCTATCTTCTGATCCCGCTGGTTCAACTGTTTTGTCCATTTCCTCGTCGTCCCTTTGATCCGTCTGATGAAGAGGGAGCGGCCACTGGGGCGAGATCTTCGTTGGCAGCCGTGTGGAGGAGTCTGTTCCCCTCGTCGAGGAGGAAGATCCCTTGATTTCCGGATGTCTTCGAGATGAAAGCAGTGGTTTTGGTTGCGATAGCTGCGGTTATACGGAAGCGGATGCCTGCGTCGATGTATGCAGTATCAGCGGGCGTGGATGGCAGAAGGCCAGAGACAATCTGGACGTAGGTGTTATAAATTGGTGCTAACGTAGCTAAAAGCTTATCCGTTGCGATGCAGGTCATCTCCAACCCGTATAGAAGGCGACTGTCGATAATTGCACTCGCCACGTAAAAACGGATGCTGCGGTTGTTCGATCTATTTTGTCCGGAATGGTCGTCGATTTTGATCGGTGGTCCACTAATTCTGTGTTGAGAAGGGCAAACATGGCACCTGATGCTTTTAGAGGCTGATAATTCAAAGCCTACTGAGTTGGCCCACCTGGCGACGGCGGAGACTGCCGCTTGGACTCTCATCCTTGTACGTACTGGCGTGGGTCCGGTGGTGACGATGAGGATGTCGTTGGCGTAGACGAACACATATATGTTTTTTGGAAGAAGCTGGAAATTTCCTTGATCACCGACAGTACGCTTTCCGACAAGGTTTCGGAACGTCCACCTATTTCGCAACCCTAGGGGAAGTTCTCAAGAACGCCTACGACAGTGGTCTGCACACCGAGATAGTATCGCTCGACATATCGAAGGCCTTCAACAGAACGTGGACGCCCCTCGTCCTTAAGCAACTAATCGACTGGGGTCTTAACGGACACATCGTTCACTTCATCCAGAACTTCTTGTCCAGCCGCTCATTCCGAGTCGCAGTCGGCAACACCAAATCCCGGGTGTCCCACAAGGATCGGTTATCGCCATTACCCTGTCCCTCGTGGCCAACTACCGAAACTGGCTCGTGATAAATGCACTAATTAATGATTTTTTACTAATTATGGATCATGAAATGACCACAAACTGGCATTTCGGAAGATCCGGGAAATCATTAAAAGATACCACATCTAGCATCCGTTTTCACGTGGCGAGTGCAATTATCGACAGTCGCCTTGTATACGGGTTGGAGATGACCTGCATCGCAACGGATAAGCTTTTAGCTACGTTAGCACCAATTTATAACACCTACGTCCGGATTTTCTCTGGCCTGCTGCCATCCACGCCCGCTGATGCTGCATGCATCGACGCAGGCATCCACTTCCGTATAACCGCAGCTATCGCAACCAAAGCCGCTGCATTCATCTCGAAGACATCCGGAAATCAAGGGATCTTCCTCCTCGACGATGGGAACAGACTCCTCCGCACGGCTGCCAACGAAGATCTCCCCACAGTGGCCAGGCGCCACTGGCATGGAGACGAATGCCGTAATGTTCTGTCTTCTCTACTGAAGCTGCTTCCATCTTCATCGCTGCTACAACGCTCTCCGACCAACCGATCCTGGTCCTCACGGATTCGCACAGCGTCATACAAGCCCTGACATCCGAGGCCCCGACTCATCCCTGGGTACAGGCGACGATGAAGTCCGCGCCACCAAACACGGTATTCTGCTGGGTTCCGGGGCACTGCGGAATACCAGGCAAATTTGAAGCTGACTTTCTGGCTGGGGCAGGACCATCTGCCCCTCACTATACCATCAGAAGATAGCGTCGCGGACCGGTAACACCAAGATCTCGCACAATTTCGGTGGAACGTCGTTCCACAGGACTTGCGTCGGTTGTAGAGCTCCAGCCTCAATCGAGCACATTCTATGCGTATGCCCTCAGTATCAGAACCTGCGGGAATTCCACGGGCTTCCAAATAGCATACGATTGAAGGCGAACCAGCCTCAGGCTGAAAGCCTCCTAAATAAAGATAAATCAATCAATCAATCAATAGCATACGCGACATGCTGGGTGATGATCCCTCCACACTGGCAGCAGTGATGCGTTTTTTAAAGGATGCTGCATTGTATTTTAAAGTTTAGTCTGTTTGAATTCCTTTCGGCTGTTGGGACATCTTTGCCTGGTGGGGGCCCTCCCGGTTCCCCCGGTGTGAAGCTCTGTCTTATTCAGATCTTAATGTTGTGTCTTTAATATGTTGTGTAATACCTTGTACAGACATACAAGTACACTGTTGTACTACCGTTGTACTTCTTTAAGCTAGTACCTCAAATTGTACCTTTTGAGGTACTCGATTAAAGGAGTACAACCATCCATAGAGGTAACTCTAAGACTAGTAGGTCCCGAAGAAACGAGCTCAACTTTTTGGCTCAGCTCTGGTACTATCTTTGGTCCCAAGCTAATCGATGCACCCCTCGAAACATAGGAAAATCCACGACCCCTCATTTTATCTGTCAAACTTTCATAGCGAATCAAAACAAACATAGTGTAGTACTGGAATTTATACTAGAATGGGGTACGCTAATCGATTTGTTTGGGAGAAATAGGCTAGTCAAGTAGTGAACCAATTTAAAATCGTTAGTTTCGAATTGATTGTTGGTACAACGGTACTGCTTTGTATGTCTGTCAATGGTATAAATGTACGATCGAGCCAGGAACCAATTTTCGGTTGAAGTAAACTACTCTGTTAAAAAAAACGAGCCAGTTTGGTAATACAGCAAAACGATATAGTGGTACACAAAAATGCATACCGAGCCACTGGCACAGTGTTTTAAAAGTTCATTTTGACGCTTGTAATTGATAGCACCGTGGAGTGGATTTAGAGTAATGACAGCTTCGGCAAAGTTGATGGGTATGCTTCATCTTTGAATTTTGTGATTAACTAAAGACATAAAAGTGGTATGTTTCACCAAAATCGAGATAGAGCGTCTTGTTTGAGGACGGACCTCCAAAAACCTTTTTTTATCAAAACATATATTTTCTTTCATTTTGGGTTTTCACTATGTTCTACAAAGTTGTTTGTCAAACTAAAATTCACAACTTACTAGAACATCCTATGTCTGCATTATTTGAATACGATGATTTATTGAGAAATTTTCTTCAATTTTCCTCATACTTTGGACTTGTGTATCTTTCACTGATGCACATAGGTGCAGATGAGGTCAAATGCATCTAAAACTACATTAAAAGAGCTTTAAAATGGTGGTAAACTTGTCCGTCCACGACCGTCTGCTGGGGGAGGTGTGCTCACAGCAAATATCTATATCCTTACTTGTTGTGATCTAAGGTCTAACGAATTAAGATGAACCAGATTATGCCATTTTACTTGAAAGTCCTACTCTCATAGCTTCCTTCGCTGGCGCTGTCTGGTTTCTTTTGCTGAATTAGTTTCTCTCTGTCTCCCTTCGCTTGCCTTGCACAAATCTTCTATCTTACATTCTTTCATATGCATTCACAATTGCTTCACGCTTATTGAAACAAAAAAATAATGATTTCAAAGATCAAAATATCAAATGAAAGGTACAGCATGCAACACCACCCTAGTGCTGTTCTTTGAAATGACTACGTTGGTCATGACGAGAGAAGCAACACAATACTTGGATAAAGAAGAATTGCATTATAAACACACCATCGCCTGGAAATGCTTTCGGTAACGTGGCGCAAGTCTAACGCGCACAGTTTTGCCTGTGGATTTAAGGAAATACCTCAAGTCCCCACATCCTTTAACGTAAGAGGTAGGTAAAGGAGAGTTTTACTAGTACTGTCGCATTAATGGCCCTTCGTTTAATATCAACTTCTATTCAAATTTTAACACTACCGTACTCTAACGGGAACTACCAACCTATCCTCTTCAGAACTTTCTCTAGCTAGAAAATTATCACACTAAAGCTTCAAGTTGATATTAGTATAGAATTTCCTCCCAACCACAGGTGGAGGTGGCTGGGTTCGATTCCCGGTCCGGTCTAGGAATGTTTCGGGATGGAAAATTGCTCGACTTCCCTGGACATAGAGAATGATTGTACTTGCCACACAATTAAACTAATACAAAAATGGTACAGGCCTCGAAAGCTCTCACTTAATAGCTGTGGAAGTGCATATAGAACACTAAGTTGAGAGCACGCAATAAGCCAATATGCGATAAGCAATAAGCTTGAAATTCGAGGAAGAAAAACCTAAACCAAATCTATAAGATTTGACGGTAAACCATTTTCGCGGTATCCATACACTGCCGGTGGACGCATAATTGTGCTATTAACTTTAAATACACATATGATGACAAATATGCTTCCACCGGCAGTACATAACAGTACCAAGAAAGCAGGAGTTTCTTAGGACTCGTGAACAGCAAAAAGAAAAATACCCCTTGAAGCTCCAGAGGGCTATAACGCCAAGCACAAGATTCTTTTAAGCCCCTAGAAGTGCTATGAAACATTGAACCATCCACTAGGCCTTTTTTTTCTTATTCCTTGGACGGCAGCTAATCCATATCGACATTTACCTACCTGTATTGTTCCTTTTTTGAATCCCCTTCCACCCGGTACAACATTTAATAAGCGATACTTACGTTTTTTTGCAGAAGTTGCAGGAGAAACTAGACGCAGTGGTATTTCCGGCAGAAGTGGAAGCTATTACCATTGAATCTGAATCTGCAACTAAACATACGATTGAATGATGAGCACAGGTTCCAATATATATAAAAAAAAAACTATTCACCATACCTGGTCGTTTGTTTGAGTGGTGTTCTTCCCTATGGGTGTCGTATGATTTTTTGTAGGTGAAAGATGCCGGGCACATTTCACACTTGAACTGCTTTTCACCTCTGTGGTAGGTTTGGATGTGGGCATTCAGGTGACCTGAAAATGGAAAAACAAATTCGAGTAAAATATTTTGCTCAAGTAACAAGTCCAAATAAACTCACTCTTCTGTTCAAACAGTTCCGAGCAGAAGGTGCACACGAAGCTCCGATCGGTGGCCAAATCACCGACGGCGCTTTCGGCCTGGCTGTCATGATTCTGACGAATATGTCGCACCAAGTGCCCGCTGTACTCGAACCGATAGAAGCAGATCTTACATTCGAATGGTTTCTCCTTGGCGTGATGTAGCTGCATGTGCTGCTTCAGATTGCATGCATAGAGGAAATCTTTTTTGCACAAATCGCAAACAATTTTCCCCTTGGCAGGTGTGGTCGATGCTCCCGGTTCGGCAACATCGTACACCGAGCTGGAACTCTCGTTAATCGGAAGACTCCGCTTGGCGGGTGGAAGGGGAGGTGTATCATGATAGCGCATATTGAAATCGAGATCATCACTACCGAACCCATCCTCCAGCACCAGTTCCAGGTTGGATGCGTCAAACAATGGATCGCCGCTGTGATTTTCCATGGTGTCTGGGAAATCTTGCAACATCATTTCCAGCCCAGAACCGAAAAGGGAGTGTTCGGAATCGACAATGGGGGCATTTTGCGCACCACCGATGTGAGTCACCATGTGAGCCTTCAGCTCGTAAGCATCGCGGAACGTTCGGGAGCAGAAACGGCACTGCATAACCTCTCCCGACGATGTCGATGGATATCCATCTTCTTGTTTGGCTTTCCTGCCGCCGTGAGTCTTCAGATGCCATGTCAGAGATCGTTGCTTGACAAAATTCATCGGACAAGCAGGACACTGGAACACCTCGGACCCATCCGGATTGACGACGGGTGTGGTGATTTTTGCCGGCAGTTCGTCCGATTCTGCCTCCTCAGCAGCTACTTCATCGGCGTGGTTGTTTGCCTTGTGACGAATCATGTGACCCTTAAATTCGAATCGATACCTGTAAAGCGAAATGAATTAACCTACAATTCGGAACCTTGCGACTTGCGAGCACTTTATCAGTAGTTACTTACTTGCAAATGTTGCACTCAAACGGTTTATCTTTGGAGTGATGCATCTGGACGTGTTGCTTCAGTTGGCAGGAAAACTTGAACACCTTCAAACACAGTTTGCACTTCCGGTCGCTGTCTTCGTTGAGCATTTTTTTAGCGGACTGTGTTTCCTGCTTGTTGACTTTGATTCGCTCGATGTGTGTCTTGAGGTGCTCGATAAGTTGATCCTCTCGTAGGAACAGAGCCGAACAAACCACGCACTTGTTTCGTTTCACAGGAGGTCCATCGCCGCTCGAAGACTGGGTTTCGCTTCCCTCTTGCTGACTGCTGCGATTGGCAAGTCCTTCATCAAGCACCGGTTCAACCAGTTCTTCCAGAGTGGCGTTAAAGTTTTCGTCCTCCAGCAGTTTGATCTGATCTTCTTCCTCTTCGTTGGCCAACCGTTCCTCTTCCAAATGAGTCAGTTCGTGCCGTTTGAGATTTAGCTTGTGTACGAAACTGTAGTGGCATTTGCCGCATTCGTATGGCTTGCCGGGTTGATGGTGCAGCGCGGTATGCTGCTGCAACTGGCTGCGGAAGGTGAACACCTTCTGACAGAGGTTACATTTGTGATGATCTCCGGATCGGACCCAGGAGCGTTTCTTCTTCAGCGGTGGACTGTCGCTGTCATTTTGCATCCCATCAGAGGTATTCGACCGTACGCGATGTCCCTTCAAATGGTGGTAGTATGCTTCCTCCGAGTCGAGGTTCTGGTCGAATGAAACAAGAAAGGAGAGAGGGGTGTTTATGTGGTGTTTACATATACGCTGATTCACTAGCGCTAGTGTACTAGAACTGTACCAAAAAGTAACCCGCTCAATGTAAACAGGGCGTCAGCATCTACCGGCATGGGATTTCAGGAACAACTGAAATTCGCGCTAGTTGGCGGAGCTGGTGGAGCTAGTGAACTACTCCAAAAAATATGCACGTCCGATCTACGTGAAAACATAGGTAGCTTTCGTCCATACTACTTTTCACGTAACATTTACGTTAATGTCATGTAGCCAAAAATATTCCCTTTTAGTGGTCAACGTGAACATTACGGTAAATTTTACGTGATTTCCACTTAACTTGGAATAGATTTTCACGCAATGTTTACGTGATTTTTAAATGTTATTTATTGACATTTTTTGTTTATATTACGTTTACGTTCCGTGATTTTTATTGATCAGGACCATTGTGATGCAATATCTGTTTGCGCTGTCTTATTTAGAGTTATGATATTAATTCCAGCCTCTGAAATCTAAATAAATACAATTATTTGCGCGGTCTTCGAATGATGTTGAATAGTATGCGAGTGGAACGCTAACTGGGCTGCGCTTTTAGCCCAGTTAGCGAACAAGTACTGTACTTTCCTCCGATATATCTAAATAGAGCTGGAATTAGGGCATAACAGCCTTTGCAAACAATGACTTCAATCGATGATTTCTAGGAACTCAAGGCACGCCCACGCAAACCACGGTGTTGATGATTTGCGTTGGCAAGCCTTAACTTTCTAGAAATCATCAAAAGAAGTCATTGTTTACTAAAGCTGTTACACCCTAATTCCAGCTCTATCTAGATATAATAGTGCTTTCTGGACAGTTTCTCATGAAATACACCATGGACCTCTAACCCATGCAAACTAGTCCAGTACAATTTCAAATTAAATAAAGCGTTCGATACAATTTATAGAATGCAAAACAGACAATCGCGTGTTGCCAAAAAACGGGAAGGCACTGCATTTTTATAAATAAGGGTAGGAAGGGCATAGTGAACAGATGGAGCGTGCTGAGTTTCCTGCCTTGGATTTCTTGTGGTTCAAAACAAATTAGTTGGTCAATAATCATTGGAATTGTGCTATCTAGATAGAGCTGGAATTATGGCGTAACAGCCTTTGAATACAATGACTTCTCTCGTTGATTTATCGGAATTCAAGGCACGCCTACACAACGCAACACATCCATCGGGTAGGGGAAGACTTCCTCTACTTGATGGTGATGTCGATTTGCCAGGGAGAGCCATGGCTTCCGAGAAATCATCGAGAGAAGTCATTGTTTATACAAACTGTTACGCCCTAATTCCAGCTCTATCTAGATATTGAACCTGCTACCAATTAATTTGTTACGAACAATTAGATGTTTGGGAGTCCCAACCGAAAATGACAATCGTCACTGACAGCCAATGCCAATGAAACTTTGAAGCACTGAACCAAAACTATTCGCAGAAGGCTATGTTCTCATAAAAACGCGAAAAGATAAATGACGAATAACAAATAACGAAAATCCGGAGTGATTTGAGATTTGGGCGTAATTGCATTTGTAAACAAACACGTCAATCACCGATTTCTCACGAATAAAAGCTCAATCTCGAAAAGTAATAACATTATGAGGTAGAGGAATGATTCCTCTATCATTTGGTATAGTTTGTTTGTGAGATTGAGCTTTTATTCAAGATAAATCAGTAATTGACGTGTTTGTTTACAAAAGCAATTTCGCCCAAATCTCAAATCACTCCGGAATTCATCCTGCATTCTAGTCTGCAATCTAGGTCCAATATTCAAGTTTTTATAGTGATCCTTGAATGATCCAGCTATAATCAACACGTTCGAAGCCGTCAACCAAGCCATCTAGCGGGTCAGCGGAAAACAGTTCATTTTGTCCTTAAACGGGCAATAAACGCTATGAATTACTCTCAAACTTCCGAAATATATTTCATCGTCAAATGCTTGATATTCGGGACCAACTGATTTCTTTGATATCCGCAGAACCTCCCTTGAAAGAAAATGAGTTTTAAATGATCCGGTTGTGATTACATATTAGTGTAAAATATGCACGAACCTGTGCCAGAACGCGTCTCAGAAAAATTTATTTAGATTAGATCTGGATTTTATAAAAGTTCGGAATCTACAATTCATTTAATAGTATGTTTTTGTGTCAGTGTTTGGAATGTTTGACAGTTGCGGTTGTGTCTTCTTCTTGTTTCTGAAAAATCAATGAATGCTAAGATTTCTGTGAACTTGCAAAAATTTTTGCTAAACTTACAAAAATGCAACATCGAGCATTGAGCAACACCAAATCCACAACTCTATTTACAATTCAAGAACAACATGCGAAAAGGGCATACAAGCTTTTTGTAAACAAACCTTATTATGCCTTTTTCTCGCCACCCATATGACACCCACGCAAACCTTTAACATCACCGGGTAAGGGAAACTTTCCCCTTTCCGATGATATTGCTGGTTTGCGTGGGCGACCCTCGGTTGGCAAGAAAAGGGCCTACAAAGGTTTGTTTACAAAAAGCTTGTATGCCCTTTTCACATGTGGCTTTTGAATTTGAAATGAACAACCATCATTAAACTTCACCGAGTAACTAAGTGGTCTGAAACTAGCGAAGTCAGCCATACTTATCAAAGAGTTTTGTGATTAAGAAACCGGGGACATAGCTAACTTTTTCTCGAGCCATCCATGTGCACCCGAGAAATGTGTTGGGAAAATATGTGTGTATGCGCAGTAATGTCTGAGGAGAAGGTTAGCGGATGGCTCGCCAAGTCGATTGGTACATGTCCGGGGCCAATCGCACGGCCTATACTCGGCATAGGCCGGGGACACAGCTAACTTTGCTAACACAGCTAAGTGATGGTGTATGAGGGGAACCTGGTCGGGTAGGGGAAAAGGTATCTGCCGCAGGATGCAGTAATGTTCGAGGAGAAATGTAGAAAATGGCATGCCAAGTCAACTGGTACATAGCCGGGACTAGTCGCTCAGCCTATACTTGCCATAGGCCGATTACACCGCCATCGCAACCACCAATGTAAGCCGGGGACACCGACGAATCGCTGGAAGAAATATTGGTAAGTATTGTTACCGTTGGTAAAAACGAGCACCCGGTTGCGAAAGGGTTGCGGTCGGTGAAAGTGAACACCCAGTTGCGAATGGGCGAATACCGTGAATACGTTGAAGTGGTTCCTGTGGTGCGATTCGTATACTGTTGTGTCGTGGGTGAAGTCCGACCAACGAAGGTACAAACCTTTCGTTGCCCACCGAATCGGAGAGATTCTCAGCATCACAAACCCTGAAGATTGGCGCTGGGTAGGTACGAAGGACAATCCAGCAGACGACCTAACGAAATGGGGAAAAGGAACGGAAATCAAGTCGGAGAGTCGTTGGTATCGAGGTCCGGAGTTCCTGTATAAAGACGTGTCAGAGTGGCAGAAGCAGAAACGTCCGGTGGTGGAGGTTCAAGAAGAACTACGCGCAAGCGTGCTGCTGCATCATATTCTTTTGCCTGAGGGGTTGATGGAGAGGATGCAGCATATTTCTCGGTGGACGGTGATGGTGCGAACGGTAGCAGTAGTGTTCCGTTTTGTGTCCAACTGTCGTCGTCGGATCAAAAAGATGCCACTTGGAGGTGGCGTACAGCCTGACGACGGAGTCGTGCAAAATGGCGATTAGGAGGTTTGTGAGGCGACGTGGCAGTCCGATTGAGATCTTCTCGGACAACGGTACGAATTTCGTCGGTGCCAATCGAGATCTGGTGAAGGAGATCAACGTTGCCTGTGCGGACACGTTCACTGGTGCAAGGACCCGTTGGACGTTTAACCCACCTTCAGCGCCACATATGGGGGGCGCTTGGGAGAGAATGGTACGCTCGGTGAAAGAGGCACTGCATGTCTTCACGGATGGTCGGAAGCTGACGGATGAGATCCTGCAGACTGCACTTATCGAGGCTGAGAACCTGGTCAACTCACGTCCACTTACGTACGTGTCAACCAACGTGAAGGAAGACAAAGAAGCGCTAACACCAAATCACTTCCTGCGTGGTCGATCGTCGGCCGAATGTCTACCGTCGAGGATTCCGGTGGATTTGGCTGATACGTTGCGGAGCAGCTATAGTCGAGCGCAGCAGTTAGCGGATGGATTTTGGGATCGTTGGCAGCGGGAGTATCTGCCGACCCTGAACAGACGGTCGAAGTGGTACTTGGACCATCGAAAAGTGGCGATAGGAGATCTGGTGTTTGTGGCTGATGGCGAAAAACGGAATACCTGGAAGCGAGGCCTGGTGACGCAAGTGTTCGTTGGCAGTGATGGGAGAATCCGCTCAGCGTCCGTGCAGACCAGCCGGGGTGAGAAGCTGCGACCAGTATCGAAGTTAGCCGTTTTGGAGATTGAGGTGGAAAATAGTAAGCCCCGTACTGTTCCCGAGTGAATCAGCGACAGGGTTTACGGGTGGGGGAATGTTACCGTTGGTAAAAACGAGCACCCGGTTGCGAAAGGGTTGCGGTCGGTGAAAGTGAACACCCAGTTGCGAATGGGCGAATACCGTGAACGCCCGTCCACTGACAGTTCTCGACGGCTGATGAAGATGACCAAAATGAATGGCACACATACATGCGCATGCAGCTGATCGCGCAGTGGGATCAGCCATCGCAATTTGTTATTGTTGACACTGAAGATCGAAACGAGATGGTGAAATTCTCATCTTGTAATTTAGTGAAGTGAATATGTCTGTCCACTTGTAGTTAATTAGCAAAATAAGTGTGAAGTCAATTTTATTTCGTCAGCTGATTGTTGGTCGATATTAGGTTTGCTCGTTCATGATATTTTGTGCTACTTACCGTCCTCAAAACCGAGTATAGGAGTGTTGGCAGTGAGACTGGTAGTAGTTATATTGAGGAAAACTTAATTTTGAGAATGTTGCTCGCAGCAGGGCTGAAAAAATCACTGAAATTCATCAAAGTTCACTATGGATGAAAAATTCATTTCATAGTGAATGCTGGTGATTTTTTCATGATTTTTTCAACTCTGGCTCGCAGTCCTTCGGATCGAGCATAGAAAATTTTTTTACAAAGTATCGCTTCTCGGCCTAAAGGCTAAGATCAAAGTATAGTATCTGTTCTTATCAGCTTAACATCTGATAGATCTCCCATAGGGAGACAACAAATGTTAAACTGATTTTTGGAAAAGGGCGGAACGGTTAGGGGCTTGCTCCACTTCCGCCACGGGTTGGCCCGGTACTGCATTATCGCCGAGAGCATACTTTGTAAAATTGTTTTCTATGCTCGATCCGAAGGACTGCGAGCAACAAGTATGTTGTTTCAGGTATTTTTTTCAGGTAAATAAGGTAAGTATTTTCTTCAGGTAAATAAGATAAGTATTTTTTTCACAAACAAACAATTTATTGACGAACATTTACATTTACAACTCCATACCACTATCGTCGGGTCTCTGCCGATATTGCCCTATTGGGGTCGGGCGCTGTATTCCCTCGATGTATCCCGTGCGGAAGACGTTCTCTTCCGAATTGGGTTTTGATCGTAGCGGCCGATAGTGTATACGAACACCTAGAATTTAGCCAATTCCACGAAACGGGTGTAGCGTAATCCGGCACTGCTGTTAGCCACCAGGCCACCGAGTGCGCCAACAGCAGCCGATCGGAGTGCGATATGTCGCTCAACGACTTCATTTTGTATGTTTTTGGAAACATAGAAACTACCACCTTCCGGATAAAGGTCGGCAGCATGTCGTGGTATGCGCATCTGCTAAGGATAGCATCGAAGTGCTCGGTCATGTAGCTGGGCATTAGACTGATGCAAAATTTGACTTTTTCGCTCCACAGTGCTTAAATGGTTTCCAATCGGGTCGTGATTAGCCTCCAAAAGTTACAACTCATTTGGTTAGAAACAGACTTCGCACAAACCATTTGAAGTTTACATGTAAATTACTATGGGAAATCTCAACTTTTTGTTCATTGCCTTCTAGTCTTTTTTCCACATTGAGCTGCAAAACAGCTCGATAGCTATTCTTATAGAAAATTTTCTCAGCTACAACTTTGCTCAAGATCATTTCTATGTAAAACGAGACTGGAAATAGTTATTAATTATTTAAGAGATTGGTAAACTTATGACATGATCAAGCAGCTGCTCTGTAGGCAACACTGAATTTTGCAGTGTTACATAGTAGCCATGATTTTTGTGTCCTATTCAACGCCCCAGAAACACCAATGTTGCCTGCTGAGCAGTTGATTGAGCATGATCATAAGGCATCAGTGCATTGAACCATTAATAACTTTCGATTCTTGCATTTAATCAAAAAATGATCTTCAGCAAAGTTGTAGCTGAGAAAATTTCCTACAAGTAAAGTTGAAAGCTTTTGAAGCAGACCGATATGGTGTTATTAGATAGACATGAACAAAAATCTTGGTTTTACCATAGTAATTCCCATACAAACTTCAAATGGTTTGTGCCATCTCAGTTTCTCACCAAATGGGTTCAAATTTTGAGAGGTTAGTCAGGATCCGATTTGGAATCGATTAAGTATTGTGGAGCGAAAATTTCAAATTTTGCATCACTCTACTGGGCATCCAGTCTCTCGATGTAATTGACGCACGTACGAACTCGTCGAAAGGCTCCGCCGGCTGCCGGTATCACTGTAAGTTATAATTAATTAGTTTTAGGATTAGTTTTAGGATTAGGTTTAGATACTTACATTAGTTTCGGGTTCAGCTGATTATTGCGGTGGCGGGCGCGCGTCCAGCCGCTCCGTCAGCCTGGCAACTTCCACGACAACAGCGTTCAGCTGGTTAGAAAGCGCTTCAACCCACGTCATCCTTGTACTACCTGGACAGCGTATCCAGGCGCAGAGCCATCGCCGCCATGTCTTGCTTCATTGCAAGCCGTGACGGAGTTGGCGACGGTGACTGGATAGCTGGCCCAGGCGAGCACGGACCTGACTGGGGCAACCTGCGCGACGTACCTGGCTGGGGTGACGGATCTAGCTGGCGCGGCGGACCTGGCTGGGGTGACGGATCTAGCTGGCGCGACGGATCTGGCTGTGGTGACGGATCTAGCTGGCGCGATGGACCTGGCTGTGGTGATGGGGAACATTTCCTGCGTTTCGGTGATGGGGAGCTTTTCTTGCGTCGCGGCACCGGGGAACGTTCCTTTTTGCGTTTTGGCACCGGGGACGGGCCCCGTTCTTTCCACTGCGATCGTGTCGTCGGCATGTTTACACTCATCACTGATTGGCTACTTGGCTGACAGGAGCAAAAAAGAGGGTTGCTACGATCAGCGAACACACACTACCACTGCTATTCTATAATAGCAGTGGCAGTGTGTGTTAATTGCTCGCTGAACCGAACAATACCTCATAGCTAAATGCAGCGGTTGCAAAGCTCCATTCAACTACTGTATCTTCGACCACACTATTGTCCATGCTTTGTTTATGCGTTAAAGTCAAATCGAACACTAACTCGCTTGTACTGATAGCTATATGATCGGTATGGGGAAGTTATTGTTCGATTCGACTTTAACGCATAAACAAAGCACCACCAGCTTCGTCGAGTATAGGCCGTGCGATTCGCCCCGACAATGTATCGTTTGACTTGACATGCTACACATTTGCTACACATTTCCCCTACCCGACCCCGAGCACAAGACGACCACGGTGGTGGTTGCGATGGCGGTGTTTACAGCTTATGTAAGCTAGTACCACCACCATCGCAACCACCACCGTGGTCGTCTTGTGCTCGGGGTCGGGGTCGGGTAGGGGAAATGGTATCTGCCGCTGGATGTAGTAATGTCTGAGGAGAAGGTTAGCGGATGGCTCGCTAAGTCGATTGGTACATGTCCGGGGCCAATCGCACGGCCTATACTCGACATAGGCCGGGGACACAGGTAACTTTTTCTCGAGCTTTTTCCCCTGACTGAATTCTCTGAGATTTCCAGATTTTACAGGTCCAAAATTGAATTCCCCGATTTTCCAGTTTTTTTTTTTTCAGGTAGTCGACACCCTGTATAACCTTACTGAAGCTTCAAGGGCTGACCTATAATCCTATGCTTGTAGAACTTTCATACAAACTAGTTTAAAAATAAAGCAAAACAAAATTCCAGTTTTCAGGGGCAAGATGGTCGGTCCCAATGAGGTACAGAGAGAGGTGAAGCAGATCGTGAAATATGGCTGTATTAGTAATCAAAAAAATCAACGTAAACGCAATTAGTGACGTTACTAATTGCATGTATCGTACAGGGGTTTTACTCACACAACTTAACATACTACTTCACCTCGGTAATCCAGCTCATTGGGTCAGTCCTACAGGGCAAAAATAGAACCAGCATAATCTTAGGCATAAATAGCCTTTTTGTCAAAAATTAGGTAACTACTATAAAGTACCTATAGGTCAAGTTATTATTTTCAAGGTTCATCAAAATTGCACCATCTTTCAATAAGTTTCATAAAATTTTACTTGAAGCTAGAATTATGTCCAAAGTTTTTTAACTTTCAACATAAATTAGTCTTAGCTGTGCTTTATTTTAAACTATCACGACTTTATCAATTTCGTTGTATTGTTGTGTATAAAATGAATTTTAGGCACTGTCACCCATATACATTGATGGTGCCCCGATGGTGCCGATTTTAGAATTTTCATAATATAATTGAGAGGGTTAGAAGGAAAGGGGTGTAAGTGACTTTGATCGATTCTCTTCTACGACTTTCTCTTTTGATAGCAACAGCTTTATAAACAGATTTTGCGCTATTTCTGCCACATAGTTTGATAAAGGAGGTTCTCATCTAGCATCCAGAATGGCACACGAATCAACGAAAGAGAAAGTCGATGAAGAGAATCGATCAAAGTCACTTACACCCCTTTCCTTCTAACGCCCTCAATTTATTCAAAGCAAATTTGAATATGGCACCTCCACACAATATTGAACAAGGGTAACATTGTGGTATTGTTTAGGTCAGAAAATAAAATATTAAACCATATTTTTTACCATCAACATATTATATATTTTTGCTAGTTATACCAAAACAACCAAAAATCTCACACACTGTGTCTAAGAGATGAACTAGCCTATGGCTAAAAATCTCTCTAATAAAGAAAAAAAAAAATCACACACTGTGTTAACAGCATGAGAACTTACTAGCGAAGTGGTTTACCCAAATTTCTACCAAATTAACTGTCAAATGTTGTGGTTTAGAGACGATGGTCGTCTTGCCCTACCTGACCATCTTACCCTACTTTCCCCTAGTTCTACGAACGCTGCAAAATTTTACGCTTCTAAACGCACCACTTCCAACGAAGTGTACGGCATTTGGCCAAATGAATGAACATAGGAAAAAGAAAAATAACTCACCTGCGGACAGTAGCCACACTTGTACATCGCACCACCCTTCCCGATCGATGGTTTGAATTCCACCTTGCCGACAAATGCATTGGTAGTGGAGGACGTACTGGAGGAGTTGCGAGACTGCGATGGTGTATCGGCCGATGGAATCGGTGAAGACGCCGCCTGTGGTCCTCCTGTGTGGATCCCTTTCGGTGTCGGTGACTGCAAGCTTTGTTCCAGCTCCTGGACGGTGCTGCCCTCGTTGGCCACGATCGACCGGTGGGTTTTCAAATGCCAGGTCATCGATTTTTGCTTCTGGAAGCGGGCGGAGCAAAGTTTGCACTTGTAGATCAAAGTGGCCCCCGGTGGGGCAACGATTGCAGAGTCTTCTGCCGTGGTCATGGCAGGTGCGCTGGCGGTCGGTGTTGAAGCTGCATTTTGTTCCGATTTGGAATGTTTCTGCATATGCCGCAGCAGAGTGCCCTCGTACTCGAATCGATAGTGGCACACTTTGCACTCGTGAGGTTTCAGTTCCGAATGGTGGATGATTTTGTGCTGCTTAAGGTTGCAAGCATAGGGGAATGTCTTGTGGCAGAGCTCGCATTTGACGATTGGCTTTCCTTCCGGTTTTGGGGTGATGCTAAGGGGATCTTCGCTTCCATTCTGTGGAGTTTGCTCGTCGTCACTGAGATCGACGGTAGCAGATGTGTTGCTATCCTTAGGGAATTGGACATCGCTGTGAGTTTTGATGTGATCGTTGAAAATCTCGCGAGATTCGCATTCCACTCCACAGACGGTGCAGGCGTAACAAATTTCCGAATGTTTCAGCTGGGCAGCTTCGAGTTCGTGGGTCTTCATGTGATTGTTGAGAACCGATTCGCGGTTGAAGGTTTCCGAACATATGGGACAGGCATGACCGTGGCGTCCTTCGGTGAGGCTGCTTGTGAACAGTGCGGCCGGGGCGGTTCTGCTTAGGGGCTCTTCTGGTTCGTGTTCTGCAGCAATGTGGATGTTCAGGAGCTTCCGCTTGGGGAAGATTTCATCGCACTCGTTACACTTGTAGGTTGCTGGCTGAGCCGGATCTTTCCCTTCCTCGTGACGTTGCATGTGAGCATTGTAGCTGAATTTCATGGCGAACCGGTAGTGACAAATGTCGCATTCGAATGGACGACCGCGGACGGTATGAACCGTACGGTGCCGCCTGTAGAGTGGCAATGTAGTCAGTTGTTTCTGACAAATGAGACAATTGTAGATCTTTTCTCCGGTGTCCGCGTTAACGGAAATGCTCAGATCCTTTTTATCCTCATCATCCAATGTGTCTTCCGACTGATCTTGCTCGAATTCCGGATCGTTTTCCGTTTCCGGGTCCGGGAGTTCGGCTTGTTCAATGACAAGCGGCAATTCCGGCTCGATGTGTGTCCTCATGTGGATGAACAACCGCTGCTCAGTTTTGAATGTATAGTTGCATTGTTCGCATTTGAAGGGCTTTTCTGGATCGTGCTGCGCGAGGGCGTGCTGCTTGAAGTAGCTGAAATACTTAAAATCTTTGCCACACAAAATGCAGTGATGCCCCTTTGGAGTCACCTTTACATACTTTTCACACTGGAAAACTGGTTTCGGAGGAGTTACCAGAGGAAAGCTGTGTTCCTGTAGTTGGACCAACACTTCCGGTCCATTGCGCACCGACTGGATTCGCAAATTCGGCGTACTGTGTATTGTTTGAGCCAATGCCGCACCATAGAACTGGCCATCAAACGTGTAATCTTGATCGTACGAATCTTCTCTCTTGACATGCCCATCGTAATACAGTTCTGCATTGGCCATTTCGACATCGTCCTCTTCATCCTCTATCACTTCCTGCTTAACCTGCACACCACCAAACGATTGGGTTTGTAGAAGTTTTCGAATTCTTTCATCACTTTTTATGCATGTTTCATACAGCTTGTACGCCTGGACCAACTTGCCCTTGCACCCCGTGCATATTTTATCCGGCATCCCATCGTTGTTCGCCTGAGCCAGTGGAGAACAAACGCTTACCAACATCGCATAGAGCGATTTCGATTCCACCGTAGTGCGAAACAGAGATTCCAACAGCCTGCCATCTTCCTGCCGGCAGTCACACATACAAATCCGACAGAGGGCACCCACTGCGTGTGACCCTACAAGCCCGGGAGTCTCAATCCGTCCATTAGTGCTTCCACCGCCGCCAACCCCCGCTCTTCTATTTGTTGTATCAATGTTGCTGCTGCTGCTATTGATGTTGTTGGTAGCGGTGGTGGTGGTGGCGGATGTTGTTGCTTCCTGAGTTTCGATCATTTTTCCGTATTCCAACACCAGAAAATTCACTTTCAGCACCGAGCAAAAACACTCCCGCTAGCGGGCATCGATACGGAACCGAACCGGACGCGACAAACTAACGGAATCGGGTCAATTTTCGATTCTTTCGGGGGCGATGACAACCATTAAACTTGCGGTGGCACTTGGTGCGAAGGCCTCTCGTTTTCTTTTTGAGCCAGTCGATCACCATCACCGCCACTGCGGTTGCCAGGATTGAAAAATATTCCGGGTGGTAAATCTGCTCGCATTTTGATATTGAGGTAATGGTTTTGATTTTTACTGGCTTGAATAACAAATCTGAGAAATAAATAATTGAGACCAAACTGTGACTATTTTTTCATTACCAAAAAATAAAAATAAAGTGTAATCAGCGGAAAATAAAAATTTTACATTATGTTTGCATTATTCGACATAACCGGCCACACTGGTAGAGTCGATGCTGCTGCGGGTGCGGGAAAGCAAAAAATAAAAACCGAATGTCAAATCAAAAGGAAACGGCCAACAAGCGGCGCTTTCGATGTCGATAAAGCAGGAGTAGCGTCTTTTCGATGATTGCATTGGAAACGGAGCCTCGAACACGGCCGTTCAAACTAACTCAAAGAGAGAGAAAGAGAGTAATTTTATATACTCAAATGAAAGTGAATGTTTGAATTTTCAGTGAACTGTTATACTTCTTCTTCTTATTCGCATTTGAAGCTTATTGCTTAGTCTATATCTGGGTACTGCGGAGTCGTTCGATTTCATTTTGCAAGCCAATGGAAAACTGCTTGAAAATTTTCTTAAGTTTAAAATGGTTTTGCTCGTTCTCAGTTGATTCAACAATCAATTCGAAACTAACGATTTTAAATTGGCTCACTACTTGACTAGCCTATTGGTCCCAAGCAAACGATTAACGTATCCCATTCTAGTCAAAATTATAGTATTACACTATGTTTGTTTTGATTTGCTATGAAAGTTTGACAGATACAATGAGGGGTTCATGGATTTTCCTATGTTTCGAGGGGTGCATCGATTAGCTTGGGACCGAAGATAGTACCAGAGCTGAGCCAAAAATTTGAACACCAATCTTCGGGACCTTCTGGTCTTAGAGTTACCTCTATGGTTGATTCCCGTCAAAAGGTTTGAACCAGGAGGGCTCGAGCCCTCATGACTCTATCAAAGTTTGTTTACATACATGTTTCGCCAAAGTATGTTTTACTGCAATTGAATAGTCAGCTGAGTCATAAAAACTATGCTGGTTTTTGTACTTTCATCACTGAGCCTGCTGGTTTTTGTCTTTGAGCTATTAAGAATGTGTTATGAAAAAGTATGGATATTTTTTTTTTAATTACAATGCTTGACGATGGATAAGAACAGTAACTGCATTTGTTGCTTCTGAAAAAATCTGTGTAAAAATCAACCAAATTTTGCACACTTTCTCATCGATGTGTATTGTGTACATGCTGTCAAACTCGAAGTCGTGTTTTTCGATTCAACGAAAATGAAGGTGAACCAACGCGAGTTGAGAGAACAAATTCATTCCAAACACCTGGAATTTCCTGACCTGTCGCACCGGCAGTTGGGAAAAATGTTGAACATTCACCATTCAACCGTCTCCAGAGTGTTGAAGCGGTTCCAGGAGCGGTTGACGTTGGACCACGGCAAAGGAGCTGGAAGAAAACCGGGACCGGAGAACAAAAAGACGGAGGGAAAGGTGAAGCGGATGATTAAAGCAAATCCCAACGTCTCAAGCCGTGATTTGGCTAAAAAGATCGGCATGTCGCAGAGCTACGTCCAGAATGCAAAGAAGAGAGCTGGACTACATACATACAAGGTACAGAACTTCCCAAACCGTGATGAGCGGCAACAATCGACGGCTAAAACTCGGGCACGGAAGCTCTACGAGAAGATGCTGACAAAATATGGCTACTGTGTGATGGACGACGAAACGTATATAAAGCAAATTCCGATTTTAAGCAAATTCCGGGGTTGGAGTTTTTCACCGGCAAGAGCAAGTTCGATGTGGACCACAAATTTAAGAAGAAGAAAATGTCGAAGTTCGCCTCCAAATATCTCATTTAGCAGGTCATCTGCTCTTGCGGACTGAGGAGTGAGCCTTTCGTGACAAAGGGCACAGTAAATGGCGAGATCTACAAATCTGAGTGCCTCGAGAAGCGCCTTTTGCCGTTCTTGCAGCAGCACGACGAAGCTCCGCTATTTTGGCCAGATTTGGCATCATGCCACTATTCTAAAAGTGTCCTGGAGTGGTATGAGGCCAATTCTGTCCATTTTGTTCCAAAGGACATGAATCCGCCAAACTGTCCGGATCTGCGCCCGGTGGAGCAGTAGTGGGCAATAATGAAGCGGGAACTTCGGAAGAGCAAGAAGATAGTCAAAGACGAGAAGGACATGTTAAGAAAATGGAAAAAAAAAAAACTGAGAAACTGGTACTGGATGACACTGTAAAGACTTTGATGGAGGGCATCAAGCGAAAATGCATTCAATTTTACACTCAAGGCTCCATCGATTAACTTTTCTTTTGATTTTTGAAGTAAATATATGTATAAAACTACCCTAAAATTTTGGTTTGATTCTAAACATTATAAAAAAAATTGGCATGACATTTTCGGTGTCGCAATAATTTCGTGTTCGCCCTTTAAACACCGTTTAGTGATACCGGATGGTATCGACTTTTAAATCTGTGTTAGGAAAATCGCTTTTTGCAAGCAATTGGTGATCATTTTAATTATCATGGATACCGTTGCACATTCGTGAAATTTTCAATAGTGACATTTTGAAACATGATAAAGTCTTAAATTTAGCAGATGCGTAGACATATTTCTGATCAATTGGTGATAAAATTATTGAAATTTGTCCAGGGGCAGCTGAGTTATAAACGTTCAAAATCTTTCATAATTTTGTTACATGTTCCAATTCCGGTTTTAACAAAGTGTACCCCCATATAGAAATCACAGACGTAATCCTACGTCAAAAAGTTGAGCTAGTTTCTTCGGGACCTTCTGGTCTTGGAGTTACCTCTATGGTTGCACTGTCCAGTTTGGACCGTAGTTCCTCCATTTCCCTGCTGTTCTTCACTGAAAATTTTACGCTTAGAAATGGCGTGCGTCAACAAAGCAGGATGCAGCAAAGTTTGAAGTTCTTTTTTACCCTTAATAAATATAAAAATACACATTTTTTGACTGGTACCACATTCTTAAAATGGGTATTTTTTCACACATTTTAGGATCTCTAAATTTACACATATTTTGATAGGTGCATAAATATAAAATATGTGTAGTTTTTACTCATTTATGTGTGTACGCTAGTTACCGTTTATAGCATTGGAAACGAGGCTCAATAATCGAAGCGTCAGCCGAGGCGTCAACTTTGCCCTTGTGTGTCACCCTGTTTGCATAGCAATGTGTCTGACAACAACTGTCAAACAAACCAAAACTTGAAATCCGTGAATCCGCATCATTTCCTTGCGCTGCTTTTTGTTCATAAAAAATAATAAAATTCGTTCAAAATATAAAGTACCTTTGGTCCCAGCCTTTTGTCAATAACATGAGCTTTACGTTCGGCGCTCCACCTACCAGCACGGCCCCGTCATTGGGCGCTGCACCGGCACCGTCAACGGCTAGCACGGGTTTCAGTTTCGGTGCAACTACTTTCGCAGCCACTCCAGCGGCAGCGGCAGCAACGACCACCGTATCTTCCGCCGCTGCCTCCGCTGCCCCAACGCCATCGTTCGGTATCAATCTTACTACAGCAGTAGCAGCACCAGCACCGGCAGCGGCCACCACCACCAGTCAGCTAACGATGGGAAGTTTTACGGCTTCTAAGCCAGCTGAGCAGACCCAACCGGCGGTGAACCTAACGACGACCACGCAAACAACACAATCGTCGTCCGTGTCCGGTGCACAGCAGCTGAACTTTTGTCAACTAGAAGAATTCATCAATAAGTGGACTCTGGAGCTGGAGGAGCAGGAAAAACTATTCACGAATCAAGCCACACAGGTCAATGCGTGGGACAATCTTCTTCTGGGTAATGGTGAGAAGATTGTTGCCCTGAACGAAGCCGTTGAGAAGGTCAAGGCAGAACAGGATTCGATGGAGCAGGAGCTTGAATTTATTACCGCTCAGCACACCGAGCTGGAGGAATGCATCATCCCACTGGAGGAGGAACTGTCGAAAATAGTGCAGGTCGACATCGAGCGTGGCCAAACGTACTCAATGGCCGAAACATTGGATTCCCAGCTGAAGCAGATGTCCGAAGATCTCAAGGAAGTGATCGAACATTTGAATGAATCGAACAAGTACACGGATCCCAGCGATCCGCTGGTACAGATTGGAAAGATCCTGAATGCCCACATGAACTCACTGCAGTGGATTGAGTCTTCGACGTCGGGGATCACGAATCGGTTGGAGGAAATTGGCAAAATGCACGATGCATTAAGGAAGGATAACGAGCGGTCATTCCGGTTGACTTACTACGACAATTGAATGTTATTGTGTCGTTATATTCATCAATAAAAGTTATTATGTAAAATTAAATTCTTTTGGTTTTTGTCGCTGCATTACATTCCATAGTTTCCTTTGCGAGTATCCCAGGAGTTCTGGTGGAGTCGCTTTTTACGTGGTACGTATTAAACGACTTTCTCGAAAACGGTTATAAGTTATAACTTAACGACTTAATTCCTATCACATTATCCATTTTTGGCGAAAAGTTATCAAATGACGTACTTGAAAAGAATCAGTTGTGTAAATTTGAAAATGTGATATTTGGCTCAGAAATTTTCATAAAGCTCTCAGCAAATTAGTTTCGTGATGCCATTTGGAATTATCCTCGGAATTCAATTAAAATAATTATCAGAATTCCGTTGGAATTGTACCCTCTAAATTCGATTCCCTTGGTATTTTTCACGGATCCTGGGATCCTCTTCACAATACCTTGGTGTTATCCCATTCTATTTTTTTCTCGATTTTTTTGTTTCACATTAATTCTAAAATCTTCACTAAATTTATTATTTGCCGGCGCCGGTGGTGTAGTGGTAAGCGTGACTGCTTTCTAACACCCCGATGGGTCTGGGTTCAATCCCAGCCGAGGTCGGTGGGATTTTTCTGAGGCATAAAAATCTCTGGTCACGTCTTCCTTCGGAAGGGAAGTAAAGCCGTTGGTCCCGGCCCATGTGTGTTGAATGGGTGCGATATCCTGCGCAGGTGTGGAAGCTGCCTTCCTGCACATTCGATTGCCGTCAATGGATGGCAATCGATGTCCGTCGGTGATTGGCACTAGATTGCGGAACAGAGACCGACGTTAAATAAAGGAAAGAAAAAAAAAAAAAAAAAAAAAAAAAACTAAATTTATTCGTAAAAAAGTTTAAAAAATTTTAATGGTTAAAAAAAGATCGTCGGAATTCACGGGATTTATCTCGGTGGCTTCGAATTATCGGCTTTTTCCTGGTTTTCGCAATTTCCCGATTCACTGGTCACCCTGAAATATAGTGACTATACTTCCTGTCTTGACCGCATCTGTTCAAGTTGGTGTGTGGAGAGAACTTTCAATATGTATATTTATTTAATTCATATTCATAAAATCAGAAATGAGGGCTACAGAATGTTGAAACATTTTTTAATTTTAGGTACCTATGGGTAAGAGGGGCATAATGAGCATCCCACACTCCAGTCCCAAACCTACACACTTAGATTTTTTACAGGAATCAGTATTTTTTACTGGGTTTTTGAATTACTGAAAAACTCAGTTAAAATTCAAATGACCGTTATTCGTAAAGATTCGTTGAAATCGACAAATTTGATTTTTCATCGTTAAACAAGGTGAACAGAAGTAAGTCTTTAAATTTTCGCAAAACATTTTCTTAACTTTGAATTTATCACATATTTTTTAAATTTTACCGAACAGTTCCGCAATTCAAAAACTCGTTAAAAATCGAGGTAAAAAATACTGACTGGATAAGAATGTATGATTGTTCGAAACAAATTAACTGGTAGTAGGTCCAATATGACCATTGCAATGATTAATGATCAATTCATTTATTTCGAACCATACAAAATCCTTGGCTAAATCACAGGTAGCTCAATATGCCCCTCCTTCCCCTACTAGATTTTATTTTATTTTCGCTGCAATTTGGCGTACAAATTTCCATAAAATTATCTGCAAATTAGTTTCGTGATGCCCTTTGGAATTATCCTCGGAATTCACTGGGGGTGAGACACATTTAAATCTTAATTTAAGATTGTTGGAAAATCTCATCTCTTGCATCTAAATCCATCCACTAGCATCGCTCTCCACCTTTTTGCAAGGAATTTTCAAAATCTTCATCAATCTTCTTTCTATCTATATCTATATAGGGTAGAGAACTACTTAGGCCTAATCGCCCATTTTGGGCCTATCGAGCAGAAAGCTTTAAATAAATCCATGATTTCAGATTTAACAAGTCAAATATGCGTCAATTTAAAAGTATCGTAGTTGGTAGTACCGCCACCTGAGGCACGCATAGTCAATTCCCTTGCGTTTGACGTTTACACACTACCGCCATCTGTAGGGTTCTTGGTGAAATACATTCATAATTTTAAGCAAGCACACCTTATACATTAATCTTGTGAGAGGATCCTTGGTGATGGAGGGCTGATTGGATGGTGTAGTGAATGGGATGAGGATTATAAGAAAAACTCATCTGATTAGAATCATTGATCAGCTTTCACTGTCTTGATTGATTGCAAATGATGTGGATCAATGCGTAATAATATTTAACGCAAATAACATTGTGAAAAGAAAGCAATAATGTTGTTCAGTGCATATTGTTGATTTTCTATCGGTGGATGCACAGCTCTATAAACAGTACACGCGATATATTAAAACGGAACGATATATTAAAACGGATTTAGCCTGGAGAGAGTTGGACTGAGGATGTACCGGTATTCTGTTGGCAATTGTTGAGACGGTTGCACGTGTTTCTGAAATCGTGCTCGGTCACTACAGATGGGAGAGTGAAGAAGACTGCGAGGGAGAAAGGAGTTGGAAATTAACTGGAAAAGAAAGGATTAGTTTTGTCTGCGGGATCGAGGAGTTTGAGAAGGCAAAACCCTATATTCTGGCGACGAGGATTAAGCGGATGATTGAAAGTAAGTATAATTAAAAAAAAAGTAATTCAAATACTTCTATTTTGCGAAATTTGAGTATGGAAAGAGAGCTGAGGCTGGATCGCATGCGGAAAGTTGTTCTTTGAAAAAAGATGGTGGACACGTGCATTAGAACGACTGTTCAAGAAGAAAAAAAAAACAAATTTTTTCTGCGTTCATCTGGCATGAGAAGAGGATTTGACTGTGACGGGATGCCGGTTGATGGCCTTAATGGCTGGATGTGATTTGACTGTGGCGGGTTGCCGGTCGAAGGCCTGAATGGCTTGATGTGTTTGACCGTGGCGGGTTGCCGGTCGATGCTAAATATGTTTTGACCGTGGCGGGTTGCCGGTCGATGGTCAGAGCCAGAATGGCTTGATGTGTTTGACCGTGGCGGGTTGCCGGTCGAGGTTAAATGTGCTTTGACCGTGGCGGGTTGCCGGTCGAAGGCTGAATGGCTTGATGTGTCTGACCGTGGCGGGTTGCCGGTCGAGGCTAAATGTGTTTTGACCGTGGCGGGTGGCCGGTCGAAGACCTGATTGGCTAAATGTGTTATGACCGTGGCGGGTTGCCGGTTGAAGGCCTAAATGGCAAACTTGTTGCGGCCGTTGGAAAATAGAAAATGTTCATGGGAAGCGGGAATGATGATGAAATTTCGAGTAGAGATACAGTAGACGTTTTTTTTTTTTAATATTTGCAGATGGATGAAATTCGTGCTTTGCCCATGTTCAAATGCGAGCAGATCGAGAGTGGAAGGTTAGCTAAGGAATGGCAAGAGTGGAAAGGCGCTTTAGAATGCTATTTTGATTCATACCAAATCACAGATCAAAAGTTAATGCGTGCTAAAATGCTTCATTTGGGTGGACCTCAGTTGCAGAAAGTTTTCAGGAGTCTCGAAGGAACTGAAGATTTTCCCGTCGTCTTGTTCATAAAACCGTGGTACAGTAAAGCAGTGGAACGACTGGATGCGTTTTTTAAGCCGCGTAGACAGGACGTTCTAGAGAGACATAAACTCCGAAACATGAAGCAGGGCATTAACGAACGATTCTCACAGTTCATCCTACGCTTACGTCAGCAGCTCGCCGATTGTGGACTGGAGAAGTTTTCCCAAGAAGTACGTGCAGCAGTTGAAGAGATGATGTTAACTGATGTCATCGTGGAAGGGTGTTTGTCGCAAGAGCTTCGACGTAGAATCTTACAGAAGGATCAGTCTCTCGTCGACATCGAAGCCTTGGGAGCATCGCTGGAGAGTGTTCGGTCTCAAGAGAAGGAAATAAGTGCCGGATCATCGCGCCTGGAACCAGGATCATTTGAAGTACGTAAAATTCAGAAATTTGACTCAAACAAACTGGCTGGAAACAAGGAACGGATCCTCGGTAGATTCCACGACAACGCGATTTTTAAAGGAGGTAATTCAAAGATCTGTTTTTCCTGTGGCCAGCGGGGACACATATCGAAGGACTTGTCTTGCCCGGCAAAAGGGAAAATGTGTCGCCGCTGTGAGCGGCCTGGCCATTTTGAGAAAGTGTGCCGCAAACGTCCAAGAGAGTACAGATCTTCAAATCATACTGGTAAAGTCCAAACTATTGACTCAGTCCCGGAGGGAGAAAGTATTGCTGTCAATAAAACTGAACCGTCATCGGAGACACAGGATAAGAAGGTGTACTATACGTTTCATCTCGGAAACAGTTGCAACGTGATTGACTGTGCTATCGGTGGCGTAGAAATGAAAATGTTCGTCGATTCTGGGTCCGACGTTAATCTGACACTGCAGATTCGTGGAAAATGTTGAAATCCAAAAATGTTGTCGTGCAACATAGCCAGAAGGGCAGTAGTAAAATATTGAAGGCTTATGGCAGCCAAAATCCATTGAAAATCCTGGGAATCTTCATTGCCACCATTGTCGTTGGTGGATGAAAGGTTCAGGCCGAATTTTTCGTTGTTAACGACCAACGAAACCTTCTTGGAGATACAACGTCGAAAGAACTTGGTGTCCTCAAAGTCGGGTTGGACATTAACCGTATTGCTTATGAAAACCACCTGAATTTTGTAGTTTTCCCAAAGATTAAGGACGTTCTGATTCATATTCAGATGGATCCGGAAGCTGTTCCGATTTTCCAACCACTTCGTCGTATTCCTATTCCACTTGAAGATGCCGTGAATAAGAAATTGGATGATCTATTAGAAAAAGACATCATTGAGAAGAAGACCGGGCCGGCAACTTGGGTTTCCCCCTTGGTCGTGGCGAACAAGGCTAATAGTGAAATCAGGCTATGTGTTGACCTCCGTCGGGTAAATCAAGCAGTAATCCGCGAGCGACATCCGATGCCAGTAATAGAAGACATATTGGCTAAAGTTGGCAGA